TGTGTGTGTGTGTGTGTGTACAAACTGGAGCTCTGGTTGCTATGGCTGGACGGGCGACAGGTAGCCAATTTCTGGGCGACTAGGAGGACTCGGTGAAGAATAACCTTTCTCGAATGGACACATGACACCGCATGAGTCTCACTTACCGCGAGATTGATGGGCTGACGCGAAATCAATATTGTCTGAACAAAGCAGTCGATTGTGATGGCAAAATTGAAGTTTCCATTTATTAGCTGAAAGATGAATTGAGCCAATTTTGCTGAAGGTGAGGCTAGATTAATTACTGAACTATCACCATATCGCTTCCCGAGAGGTATTCTCATCCGAGCAGAAGTGGATTGCCTTTTCGGTCGCGCATGAACTGGTTTCATCAGCTTCGACAGTGGCATTTTGACACTCAATGGAAGCATGATGTCTACTCCATAGATTGGGGAAACATTCAACTACCATTCCTTCATTAGCTTAAACAACGTAGAATGAAAACATCTAAAAAAAATGCCCCTTTTCCAGCGTAAAAACAAACTTGGGTTTATTCGAAATTCACGTCTTACCCGTATCATGTTGGTACATGTCGAGAGCCATTGTACATTGTACCAACATGAACCCGGTTCGCGTCCACTTTGGTGCTGCTGATGGGAGTAGTTGAGGCGAGTCGACGTTGGCCTGGAGAAGGAGGCATTTTGGGCAGCAGTGCTAAAAGCGATCATACGAAAACTGGACGCCTACACACTTTATGCGACCCGGGGTGAGTGCAAGTCATATTTTTAGACTTACGGACAGTCGCGAGACTTAATTTTTTTTGGTGAAAGATCAGATCGTCTCCCGTATCACATTTAATGGTGCAGGTGTCGACATGACGAGCTCGAAGTGGAGTCCACTCCTGGCCGGAGAATACTGCTTCTGGGAACGAAAGATGGCCTGCAATTTAGTGCACGAGTGAGGACTGTGGAAGAATTGAGCACAGAATGTGATCGAGGATGACTGGAAGCCGCGAGGTTGATGTTCCTGCTTCAGCCTCGTCCCAAACTAACAAGTCAACCGTATCCTCGATGCACCGCATTCGAACTGGCGTCAGGCCAGTCGAGGCCAGCGTCCGGGTCTCACCGTCCGGCAGATGGTCTCGACTACGTGCATCCAACGGTCTCGGTCCCGACATGCTCATCTGCCAATTGTCGCCGTGAGGGTGGGACTGCCTGCATCTCGGTCGGCCCACTGAACGGGACTCGAGCCCAAGCGGCACAGGCCGAGGTACGAGAACATGCCATCCCCTCCAGAACAGGGCAGAGCAGCCGACAAATGAAGGTGACTCTGCACAGTTGATTGGAGCAAAAAAGTCTGTACACTTCGTTTGGGCGCTGGCCGGTGTGCTTCTTTCTGTAGATTGGTAGTCTACCAGTCGAACGGCTGCGCCATGCTCGACACGGAGTTGTGCTTCGGTGAGAGTCTACACAGGCAGCAGGGCGAGGTGGCATCGCAGCCTTTCAGGCCTGAGAGAAGAGGGTAAACAAAACCGATTGAAACCCTTCTTCTCCACGCCATGGCAACACGAAATGCACCTAATGCAATTAGTTTCGGAGACATGACCAAATCACTAATCACCTGCTCCTTAGAGATTCTTCCATTTTTGGCGAATTAGGCACAGTTCCTGCTCATCTCACGAGATTATTGGAGAGCACTCTCAACACGATTGAGTCCAGTCAAACAAGAGCTGTGTCCGAGTCCGCGAATGTTTTGTCTCCGTTGGCATCCAGTCTGTTTGGAGGGCAGCTCATTAACTCCCAAATCATGTTTTCCGGTGAACTTGTAAACACAAACTGTTACGAACAATTGAATATATGAAGACCAAGATGTTGTGGCCTCTGGTGTGGTCGCAGTCTCCTTTCGATTGATAGAAGTGGGTTGACCTCTTGTCGCAACTTGGTCTTGTTGTCATGGCGACTATGTCAAACGCACG